AAAGAAAGAAAGAAAGAAAGAAAGAAAGAAAGAAAGAAAGAAAGAAAGAAAGAAAGAAAGAAAGAAAGAAAGAGGTAGGCATTTGAATATGTTAACATTGTTTTACTAGGAAATATGTTTAACACAATATTTTTCTCTGACATGTTTGGGGGCTCTTCCTTTCTTAGATGCAGAATCTTCCTTTAAACTCTTCTGCTGAAAAGTGGTCTAAATAAGTAAGTATATGTGGCTATCAGTGTTTATGATTATTCGGTTTTCCGGAGGCAGACACTGTAGATGACTATAACCTCCAAGTTGTGCTCTATCTCCCTAGCTCTGATTCAAGGGGCATCCCTCAAATCCTCTTTTCTGAAGCGTTGTAGGGAAAGGACAATACAATCTGTTTGCTGTCTGGCCATATAGGTTGTAGGGTCAATACAAGGACAGCAAATGCATGAATTCTGCAGTCTGGAAAGAGAACTTTGGGGAGCAGCACTCCCACGTAGAAAGACATGACCAAGGGACGGCTTGGAAGAAGGGCTCGGGACTTTAGCTAACAGAGGGGTATGTCTAGATACATTTGGAGTTTGTGGGTTTTAACGATAATTTTAGATTAGAAGGAATTCCTGTTATTCATAAAGGAACCCCTCGCGTTTTACGAAGAGTAATAAACCCAGCGATATTTTGATGTTTCAGCTTGTTCCAAGGCAGGCTTTTAATTGTTTTTAACTATTTGGTGGAGAGGGGAAATACTAATTTAACCAAATCAAGGGAGAAAAGCTGTTTGCAATGTTGTTTTGATTTCACATATCGTTAGTCATATCATCTATCATCTATCTATCTAACTATCAGCAGAGCATTATAAAATCCCCCCTCCCTCCCACGCAAAGTCCACTTGTATTTGGTGCAGTACACAATAACGTGAGGAGTGACAGGAATGTCGCTGGTAAGAGTATTTATTCCGCCTCTTTAAAAAAAACCACTACATTTTGGGTTGATTCTCTCTGGTGAGCACAGAGATGATTAGAGTGTAAACGTCAGGTTGAGTGCAGGAAGGTCAGTATTACAAATATTATATTTTGTAAAGCGCCTTGTTTATTGGATACTGGCCCCAACATGATTATTTTCCAGCCACTGCAAAACAAACCCAACCAGGGGCCAGCCATGTATTTAGTGGAGGGGGAGGGGAAGCGGACTTGTTCGGTGTGTAGAGTGTGCTGCTTTTTATTATTATTTATTGTTATTATTATTCCTGCCCTCTAATAATACGGTTTTCAAACAACAACATCAAGTTTTGTTGTTGCGGTTATTGTTAGAAATTAGAAAGGAGCCATCAAGCCCTATAGCCCCTGCTCTGCAATGCACATGCATAGGCAGTCTGAGCTCTCCGCTCTATACAAGTGGTTTAAAACACCAAATAGCTGTTTGGTGTTTTTCTCTCTCTTCCCTCCCCCCTCCCGCGACGAAATAGCACCGTTATCAATAGTGTATTTGATTTTTCTCTGTCCCTTTCGATTATTTGGCGGATTTGCTTTTGGAGCAGAGGAGAGAAAAGGGGGAGGGGAGCGGCAGTATTGGCAGGTCTCCCCCCCCCCCCCAGTTCATGTTTTAAGCGCCTTGTTTTGCTTGTTTGTTTCCCCCAAGAAGGAAGACTGGAACGGGCAGAGGCAGGCTGGCTCTGGCGGCTCCCCTGCTCCTTCCCCCGATCGCTTCCCCAGCAAAAAGAAACAGCGAAAAAGGGGTTTCAATAAAACCCCCGTTTCCAGCCTCGCTCGCACTTGGTGGCTGGAGCTGCGGCAGCCCCACTCTGCCTCACCCTGTGGCCGAGCTCGGGGGTGGGGTTGTGCTGGGGGAGGGGGGGACAGAGCCCGGCGCTGCTGCTGCTGCCGCCGCCCAGCCTTGGTGCCGGAGGGGGAGGCGGGAAGGACCCGGAGAAGCTCGAGCCGCTATTAGCCGCTCTTAGGGGGACGCCAGGATTGATGAGGCCAGTTTGACCAATGAGCTGGCGCCTGGAGAATGACCGGGCTGCTGTTAAAGGGGGCGTTTGAAGAGGAGCTGCCAGTCCAGTCAGAGAGTAAGAGAGAGAGGCTGGGAGAAGGGGGGTGGGGAGGGGAAAAAAATAAAAGCAGCAGCAGCGGCGCCCACCGAAATAAACAGAGGCGGAGAGACACGGGAGGAAAATAAAACCCCGCATTGAGGGAGCAGCCAGGCGCAGGAGGAGAAGGGCTCACTTCCCCCAGCCTGCTCCAGAGAGGCTTGATCATCTGCAGGGGCGGCGTGTCCTGCTGCTGAGCCCCCCCGCTCGGCTCGGAGACCCAGAGAGGGGATCACTTTTTTTTATTGTTGTTATTGTTTTTAATCCGCATCTCCCCCCTTCTCCTCCTCTCCCCTCCCCTCCCACCATCACCCCCCCCCCGACCCAACTTAAAGAAAGAGAGGAGGCTACAGAGAGAGGACAGAGACGCGTCTGATTCCTTCATCTGTGGGAATTCGTTCCTGCGAGTTTACTACGTGAGACACATCTAATGCCCAGCCGAGAAGAAGAGGAATAAAAAGAGAGGGGGGGAGGGGACACCCCAGCCGCAGCCGCAGGAGGAGAGGGGGGGAAGCCAGCGAGGTGTGGGGGAGCAGGGAGGCATAAAAGGGGCCAGCGCTTCTGGGGGTGCGGGGCTCAGGGCGGAGGTTGGCGGCAGTGACATTTCCTTGGCAGGGTGTGAGTGAGTGTGTGTGTGTGTATTGAAGGGAAAGGCAACGCGATTGTCCCCCCTCCCTCCTTCCCTCCCCCTCGCCTCCCCCTCCTCTGCCCTGCCCGCCCGCCCCCGCCTCAGCTCCTTTAATACACTTTGGTTCTCCGCCTGGCTTTGGACTCGTCTCTCTGTGGCTCGCTCGCTCGGCGGCTGCTGCTGCTGCTCGGTGCAGCGGGGGGAAGCCTGGTCCCTGGATCCTCCTGCTGCTGCTGCCGGGTGGTGCCCGGGAAGGAAGAGGAGCAGCCGCGGGGGAGGAAGCGGAGAGGAGCGGCAGGACCATGCTGCTGGACGCCGGACCCCAGTTCCCTGCCATTGGAGTGGGCACTTTCGCTCGGCACCATCACTCGGCCGCCGCCGAGATGCAGGACCGGGAGCTGAGCCTGGCGGCGCAGAACAGCTTTGTGGACTCGGCAGCCCACATGGGGGCTTTTAAACTCAACCCCGGGGCCCACGATCTGTCCCCCGGCCAGAGCTCGGCTTTCACCTCGCAGGCTCCCGGCTACCCAGCGGCAGCGTTGGGTCCCCATGCCGCCCATGTCAGCTCCTATTCCGGGGCGCCTTTCAACTCCACCCGGGACTTCTTGTTTCGCAGCCGGGGCTTTGGGGACTCGTCTCCGGCCGGCGGCCAGCACGGGATCTTTGGCCCTGCGGCCGGGACCCTCCATCACCCGCACACGGACGCTCAGAGCCACATCCTCTTCCCCGCCATTCACGACCAGCATGGCCCCCACGCCTCCCAAAACGTCCTGAATGGGCAGATGCGCCTGGGTTTGCCCGGGGAGGTCTTCGCCCGATCGGATCAATACCGCCAGGTCTCTAGCCCCAGGACTGATCCCTATTCGGCGGCTCAGCTGCACAACCAGTATGGCCCCATGAATATGAATATGGGCATGAACATGGCAGCTCACCACCATCACCACCCAGGTGCCTTTTTTCGATACATGAGACAACAGTGCATCAAGCAAGAGCTGATCTGCAAGTGGATCGACCCCGAGCAGCTGAACAACCCCAAAAAGAGTTGCAATAAAACTTTTAGCACCATGCACGAGCTGGTCACCCATGTCTCGGTGGAACATGTTGGGGGACCCGAGCAGAGCAACCATATCTGTTATTGGGAGGAGTGTCCCCGGGAAGGCAAACCTTTCAAAGCCAAATACAAACTGGTCAATCATATCCGAGTGCACACGGGAGAGAAGCCGTTCCCCTGTCCTTTTCCTGGCTGTGGGAAAGTTTTCGCCAGATCAGAAAACCTAAAAATCCACAAAAGGACACACACAGGTAATTATGTTTGGTTTCGAAGATTTAAAAATGGCTTATTTATTTTAAAAAATGCACTTAAAGATGCTCCCGTATGTAAAGACTTCCAATTTCAGCATGCTGCAGCGTTTCTCGGGGTGTTTTCTCCGGGTCTTTCAGTTTGAAAGGATTTTTTTTTTTGTTACTAATTGCTTTATATCTGTGGTCATTTATTAATGTGAAACCATGTCAAGACTTGACCGAACTCTTTCCCTTTCAAAGTAAAATACAGGCGAGATATATTCATTAATACTATTAAAATATGGATTGACATATGTATAGATAAAATATTGTCCGTAAGTAATGTACATATTTATATATGACTTGGGTGTGTGCGTGCGTGCATAGGTGTTGTAAATATAAAAATATCTCGTAGTAAGTGGCGAAATGTCCCTTTCTGGGAATGCTTTTCATTAAATTTAAATGGTGTGAGTGAGGGCAATAAAATTTTCTAATTTAGAAAGTGTTTTTAAAGTCTCATGTGAGGTGGTTTAGGGTGGTGTTGCAACAGTTTATTAAATTATATAATAGGTAGCAGAGGATTTGAGGTTCAGAAACTTACACAAAAATCAGGTCAGATATGAGAGAAGGACACAACACTTCCTGGTGGTAAATTGCGTGAGCTGAACAGTAACAAAACAAACGCATCATCCTGCTTCATAGAGTACTCATTTACTATTACTCCCAGCTTAGAATTGTGCCAGAGTATTTCATAAAAGACAGCCAAATATTTTAGCAACTTCCACTATAAATATTTACTTGAATACGGGTAACATCTATAGGCCTATTGTTTTCTTAAGTGTTAAGAATGATGCTAGGTGCGAGACGAGCTTTAACAAGGTTTAAAATTTGAGAAATTTATTTGCATGAAATGCCCGCACTTAAGTCATTGTGTCTGGGCGGATGTCTTTAAGAAACAATTTAGGTGCTAATGGAATTTAATGTTAAATGGTTCCCCCTCCAAATGGGTGGATGTTTGAGTTCTCACCTCCAAATTACTCTGAGCATTTGGAATTCTGGCAACAGGGTGAAGAAACTGTATGAAAATTAAATGGAGTATTTTACAGACATTTAGTTTCCCCCAGCGGATATGTGTTTACTTCGAAGATCCATACATGAAATAAAATGTGTGTAGCCTTAACTCTTTTGTTAATGGTTTATAGTTTAACAGGCTATTGGATTTTATACAAAGGAGCAAACGTCTCAATTTTTAAAAAAATGCTTTCGAGCCGATTGTGTGATAGCACCAGTTGAAACAAAACAAAATCCGTAAATTCATTGGAGCCATATCGTGTCACCAGTTTTGACGGAGAACTCCCTATTGGTTTCACTGGGGAGTCCTACTTAAAAAGCAATGGCGAGATATGGCTCCAATATTTTTGTATTTTTTTGATAAAATATCTTGTCAGCTGCACATCAAGGCGTCATCAGAAAACAATCCACACAGTGACATCAGTCTTTTGTTAACCATTTTAGTGGATTTGACATTAGTAAACAAAGCACTAGAAATTTAAAAAATAAAAAATATATATATTCTTATGAACCCCTATTTTAAGGCAGGCATGTGTGGATTGTTGTGCAATAAGTAGGGGAGAAGTCCAAGTTGAGTGTTTACTATAACCAAATCCTCCTTGTTTATCTTCCAGGAGAAAAGCCTTTCCAGTGTGAATTTGAAGGCTGTGACAGACGTTTTGCCAACAGCAGCGATAGGAAGAAGCACATGCATGTCCACACTTCAGATAAGCCCTATCTGTGCAAAATGTGCGACAAATCCTACACCCACCCCAGCTCTCTGCGGAAGCACATGAAGGTATACCACCACATTGCCGTTTTTCCAGCGGACATCCTCTGAGGGGGTCGGTCTGGGAGAAGGGTTTAACTCGCGTTTTCTTTATTGGGAAGGGAAACAAAAACAGGAGCCGCCTCATCGCCAGGTTGTAAAGCCAGGGAGCCTTTGCGTGGCACAGGAGGCCGGACCTGGGTGCCTGGGAGTGCGCTGGCCCTGCGAGGGTGGTGTGAGCTCTGGCTGGGAGTGCCTTGCCCATAGGGACACTTACCCCACCCTGTCTTGTTGCATTTGCTTTCCAGGTCCATGAATCTTCCCCTCAAGGCTCTGAATCGTCCCCGGCTGCCAGCTCGGGCTATGAGTCCTCCACCCCCCCGGGCCTGGTGTCCCCCAGCGCCGAGACTCAGAGCACCACCAACCTATCCCCGGCGGCGGCGGCGGCTGCAGCTGCGGCGGCGGCCGCGGTGTCTGCGGTGCACAGAGGCAGCGGCGGCGGCGGCGGCGGCGGCGGCGGGGGAGGCAGCGGCAGCGGAGCCGGCGGGGGTGGAGGGGCCAGCGGGAGCCACAGCGGCCTCTCCTCCAACTTCAACGAATGGTACGTGTAGGGGCCCTGCCGGACTGCTGGGCAAGGCCCCCGCGCCTGCCCTCCCCGCCGAGGAGGAGGAAGAAGCAGACACACCGGGAAGGTGCTGGATCCTGTTTGGTTTGGGTTTAATTCTTAACCAGCGAAAGGATTAACAACTTAAACGGCTCTAGAGCCCAGGAGAGCAAATCCTCGCCAGAGCCTCCAAAGCAAAAAAAATCCGCCACAGCTAAACTCTTCTTGTGTCCCACCCCCCCGTTTCCCTCTGCCCCAGCACCCTCCATCCCGACCAGCTGTGTATATAGAGGACTCCTCCTTCCTCCTCCAAGGTGGTAAACGAAGTTTTATCCGATTATTGGTGTATAGAAGTTCGTCCCATTTGTAAACTACGGATTGATTTCCTCCCACCCCCAAAAAGTGATGGACTTTTTTCGTTTCTTTTCTCTTTTTAGTTCATCCATTTAAAAAAAAGTAACGTGGAAGAAAATGGTTTCTTTTGTAATTGTGATAATGAATATTGTGTTCTTTTTTAAGAGGCAATTTGATTGTAAACTTAATTCAACTATAGACTGGGGGAAAAACTGTGCCAAAGTCTCCATTTTGTTACACACACACACACACACACACACACCAACAACAACAACGCTTGTGAATGTATTTTTCTGTTAGCTGGGTTTACATGTGATGTTTTAGTGCTTTTGCAAGTTCAATTTGTTAGTTCCTGTTTGGAAGATTGTGAGGAAAAATAAACGTCGTGCCGTTAGCTTTTCCCTAATAACACCCTTCCTTCTGTAAATACCTGTTACCATATTTATCCATTTGTAATTAAATTATGGTATTAACTTGCTACAGAGGAAACAGTATTTATAAAGAATGTTTCTTAACTATAAATATGTACAATTGTGAGCATAAACTGTTTCAGATTTTTTATTTGAAGGTTTAAGTGGTTTCATCATTTTTTGTGATATGTTTTGAGAGTAATGCATACAGAAATATAATAAAATGTGTTGAAACTGCATGTACTGGTTCTTTTTACGTCCAAAGGCTTTCTTTAACTGGGTAGGTTGCACCTAAAGAATGAAAATCAGTGTGGCTAGAAGATGGAAAACATTTTTTAAAAACTAGCAAAATCACCTTCAGGTATTTTGTTTTGAAATTATATCAAATGTCTTCAGTTATGATAGCTTTAACTTTCCTCCAAAATATCATTAAAAAATAACAACAACAACAAACCCCTACATGATGTGCCAGTAAAACAATAACATTTTGGAAAGCCCGGTGATGACTATAAGAGCGAGCTTTTCAAGTATTCTACGATATATATATATTTATATCTGTTAGGTATATGTTTACATTGAATATAAGATACCTCGAGCTTTTCTCAGGAAAGTACACATTTGTCATCTGTTTTACTCTATTATATTTATGTTCTACATTACTTGTTTTTGTAGAAGGTACCAAAAATAGTGCACACTGGAATGTTGGTAGATTAGAAATTCACAAACATTGATCTAAAGTTGTTCCTTTGGTCATGGCATTTGAAATTTACGTTTATTCTTTAAATCTTTAAAATATTTTTACAGCTTATATGCACCACTGAAGAAGTGAAAGACAGCATAAGGTAGCTTCATTTTCTCTTAAAGAAAAATTTAAATCAATTTTAAAAAGCAAATATAGTGATTTTAATTTAAATGTATTAAATGAGTAATCAACACAAACAAATCTACAGATATTAGTCGTGGGGTTTGCAAGGAAAAAGAATAAATCTTGATCTTAATTTACTCTTGCTTACCGCTGGATTTTAGTGAGAGGGTGAAAGGGTGTGGACCCGCATCCAGACTTTCTTAAGGAATTAGATATCAAATAAAATAGGGGATTTCCCCCTTTAATGGGCAGGAAGCGGCTTTCTAGGAATACCGGAATAATCAAGACACCCAAGGCGTGTGTGGCACAGCTTGGGAATCTTGGAAAGCTTGGACTTTGCCAAACCGATTTCTAGCCACGTAAGTATTGAAAACAGGCAGATCGAAGAGCCAGCTCCTTGGAATAGAACTCCTAGCGCCCTATTGTGGCTACACTGTCTTCAGCAAAAACATGTACAGATAGGTTTGCCTCTCAAACGCAGCCAACCACATCAGCTTTCTTTTCTCCCAGTTATTGTTTTGTTCTCCTAGTTTAAATGACAATAGAAGTGTCCCACGATGGCTGGAGAGCTGTGTGTGTTTGTGGGATCCTGTTCTCTTTTTGGATGGGAATGACACACGGCTGGGAATGAATGATACATGCTCAGCAGCAGAAGACTAAATCACATGTGGGGGGGAAGGGGAAGAACTCAGAAAAATCTCCCCAAATGCTGCTCCAGGAGCAAAGTTTTGGTAGGATTCAGAGACTGCGCCTTTCCTATACTGAGCTCTTCTGCGGGTTGGAGTCTGGCGTTCATTCATGTTGCATAATGTAAGACCCTGAAGTAATCAAACAGCTATTAAAATCTAATTTATGTTCTGTAATAATATTACGCAAAATTATTAAAGCCATTGGCATACGCCGCCGATCCCTTGGAGAGATCACTGGAAAAGGCAGCTCGAGTAAAGTTCTTTTCTTATTGAAAAATGTAACCTCATAAAAATAGGACTTGTTTCAGATTAAAAGTATTCGAAGTGTGGTTGAAATTCTGGTTATTTTTTGTAATCATCCTCCCCACCACCACCCAGCTATTGCTACCCTGTTTCCGAGCGGGTTAAAGTTAGTGTGGGGGACTGTAGAAATTAACGCACAGCTCTGGATACACATTCCCCTTTAAGAACAATTCCTCTGCTATTTTTTAGTCCTAAGAACTCTTCCCCGGGGTTTTGTGTTTGGTTGTCTCCTGTGCATAGGAGGTAGCTCCCTGACCCCGGCGGGAGGGACAGCGAGTCTGTGGAGGAAGAGGCATCCTTATGCGCCTCGGAGTTAGTCGAAGTGGCTGCCGTGTTAGCCCAGCCCGGTTGAAGGGAGCGGCTCCGGGGCTCTTGCTGGCTAGTCCACTCGTTCCCCGCTCCGTGGCTGGCCAGTGCACTCAGGAGCTATTGATGGCAGCTCCACTCTTCGCTTCCGTTTGTCAGCCCGCAGGAGCATCGGGAGAAGTTTGTACTTCGCTTGCTATCGACTGTGGTTTCCCTTCCCCGGCCCTGGAAACAGATTCTCCGCCGCCCGCCAGCTGGAGTTGTGTTTTCATTTCTTGTAGCCTAATATCTGTTTTGGCGTGACAGCTCTGCCGTAGGACCGACTACCTCTATTTTAAAATAACCCCCCAAAAGCCTCATCACCACCAGAGCCGCAACGGGGCTGGGCTCTCTCCCGGCCATTATTTAGGAGCAGCAGATACAGGAAAGTAAAACAAGTCCCCGCCGCCCGGCTAACAAAGCTGCCTTTTCATGACGGGCCCTAGGGAAGGGAGGGCAACAACCGTGGTCATGAGAATGGCTTTTTTTCCCCCTCGCCAGACTGGCCATGAACTTGAACTTGAATTTGACTTGGCTCGCCCGCTACCTAAAGTAAAGCAATCGCCTCCCCCCTCAAGGCTGCCCGGCTTTCCCAGGACCCAGGCAGGGCCCACACCGCCTCTGTTGTTAGTAATAGTTCATAATACATTTAAACCGCCTTTCCTTTCTGAGCCTAGTGATTTCTATGGCGATTGCCAGCCTTGCAGGGTTCCCAGCGGACATTGTGTACAGCCACACACGGATCGACAGCACAAACACACACGCATGCATCCGTGGGGTTGAAGGGTTCTCTGGGGACGGGAACCAATGGGCAGTACACGGCCGTCTGGGCTTGGCAGATGTAGCTCTGCAAGCAAGACCCCTGTCTCTATCGCGCCGGCTCTTTCTCTTCATCCATCTCCTCTCTCCCACCTTCCCCCCCCCTTCTTCCCTCCCTCCCTCCCCCCTCCTCTCACTTTTCTCTTTGTCTCTCAGGTTGAGCCTGGTGTTTCCAAACCTGGAGTGTCTTGCTCGCTGCACTTTTGCACACCCCGAAGGGAAACCAAGGACAAATCGTAGGCAAGGCCAGCGGCTCTCTTGGCAGCCCTGGACCCTGCTGCATCCGCACCCCTCCTCCCACCCGCACCCGCACACCAAGGAGTTGGAGAGAGCCAGCTCTATTCCCCAGCAGACAAACTAAAGGCCAGGACAGCACCGAGGTCTGCAGAAGACCAGAAGAGCTCCAGTGGTCTCTCTGTCTCGCACACACCTAGTTCCAGTGAAATAACAAAAGGGGGGCAGGATTTCACAGCTAAGGCAGCAGCATTCACTTTGAAAAACACAATATATCAAAAACGACGCACAGATTACATGTATTTACTGCAAAATTGCAGCTTCTTTTGCAATGAGGTCGCTGTATTACACTGAAAATCAGTATCAGGCAATACTGTTCTTTTTATCACTTCTCCTGATTTTGGATTTTGACTCTTTCTTCATATGTCCTATGGAGTACATTTAACGATTTTACCTTTAGCTGGTTTCCTAAAACTTTGTTCCCAAAGCTGCAAACTCAGATTTAATTTATAAAAGAGTTTAGATGTTTTCTCCTGATTTCTCCCTGCCTGTAGGTAATATAGATTGTATCGCGTAATTTTCTAAAATATCCTACCTTTACCTGTACCTTTATTTGACATGACTGTAACAAATCAAACATTTTTAAAAACTATTTAAGCATCCCTAGGGGAAAAAAACTCCGTGTGCCAGGGAGGCCAGCATTAAAGTTATATATTTAATACGGTGTGAGTCATTTTATGATTTAATACCCAGAACAGGCTCCCTTCTGCCCAGCAAAATAAAAATACAACATAAAATACAAGCTAAAGGTCAGCTTGCCTGGGATCAGCCCCGCAGAGGATTCATATGGAGAGTCTCCAAGATTGTTCAGTTTCATTCTGTCTAGACTCCACTAAGCCTATAGCAGCCTTTTAAGTTTCTCCTTTGTTTTCAGAAACTCACACTCTTTTTTCTACCAAATATGAAGACAGCAAGCGACACAAAACTGCTACTCAACCGCATGTGCACACTGGACATGCTAATTGGTACAGCGAGGTACGTATATTTTTCATCTACAACTTTTGGGGTTTTGGGGCTGGCTTCCCCCCTTCGGCCCCCCGAAACACACACACTGGAGGGCTTCTCATTTTACAAGCCGAGACTCCGGTATTGTAGTGCAAACGTAAGTAGCAACGATTAAACCCACTCTAGGGCACCATGACTCCCTCGCTCCGAAAGTGCGATTTAACTCAAGTTCTGTGGATTTTTACTTCCTTCTTTCAGCAGCGCCCCCCCTTCCCCGCACACGCTGAAAGATTTCACTGCACAAAATGTCCGTGTTTAGTGCTTGCCCTTTTCAAAAGGGGTGCCAGAGGTTTCATGTCTTTATTTAATCATACTTCAAAGTCATTGCTGCTATACTGTTGTCCTAAGGAGAGGAAGCATAACACAAAATGTACTGGCGATCTGACTTCCTACCAGGGAGTTGCACCGGGCAGTAAACAATAACAGGTTATTCCAAATACCTACCATCCCCGAACATTTTAACATGTTTCAAATAGCTTTTTAATGACGCCCTCGGTGGGAATTTTTATGGCCGGGGTATACATTTCCGAGCTGCAAGAAGTTGTTAGTTTACCATTTTTAGAACAATCCTCCTAATTCTTGGTGTAACCCCAGGTGTGGTAGCCATCTGTTGCTTCCTATATGGGAAAACAATTTCTTAATTAACCAGGACACTTCACCTTTTTTGCCACGATCCATACAGACAGAGGGTTGAGTTTTGATGCGAATGTCACCTCTTTAAAATATGGTATAACTGTTAACGGTCCTGTTTTCATGGGCATAGGCGTAGTTGGGGTTAGGAGCAGAAGTGATTGCCAATTAACAGTTTTATATTTAGAGACCATTTTCTAAAGACGAACAATATGTGGGAAACACAGGTTCTGTGTGAAACATGGAAAATACATCTGGAGTCTCAGATTGCAATGGTAAATATTTTCTGCTCAAATCTCTTTCCAGCGATTTCCAAGATACAGCAGTTTGATCTCTGCTGTCTAGTTCCCCGCCTCTCCCTTTGATTATTGGGGTACTGATATGCGGCAGCCAGCGGAGGTGCTGGGTTCTGGGCCACGAGGAAACGTTTGTTGCTCTGGTCAGAACTATAATGTGGGTGATTAATGTGAGGGCTCCTCCTTGCACCAGCTACAATCACCAGATACAGATATGGACGGTCTAGTTCACACACAAGGGACCCACTTCAACATAGCAACTTCATCAGAACTGGGCTGGTGACTAACCATTTCTGTGTGAGTGTCTGCGGAGTTATCTTTGGATCTTAGGTCTCGCAGGAGAGCGATTGTTTTGTTTTGTTTTGTTTGGATCTCGATTTAAGCCAGTTGCTTGTGGCGGAGAAAAGAGCAGTGTCAATTCCGACTTTTAAAGTAACAATTCCACAGTGTGTGTAAACAGCCTTTCCTCGCCTTCTAGTCCTAGTCGCAGGCTGTAGATTAAATAACAGTTTTAATGAGAGCGGTGGCTATTGCTGCATTAGGTGGTGCTAGTTATGAAGATGATCTGACCTGTTTTGATGAAGATGATATGACCTGTAGGGAGAGAGTGAAAGGTCAGCTACATGCAGTGACCAGATTTCTGCTCATTCCTGGCACATGCTGCTACGATATTGATCCATGGAGAAAGATAAACATAAAAGCCAGATCCTATGTCATGAATACTAATGAATGTTGGTTCCAGGTTTTAATTGGTGTTGACTTCTTTTTTTTTCCTACGGTAAACATTTATTGCAGACCTCCGTGAAGCAAATCTTCGCTGGTTTTCCTTTTTCCCTGTATCTCTCTCTTGTTGCAAATCTTCGCAGCAATTTACTTTCCCGAACAGCGAATGTATAATCCCAGAGACGCCATTGCCTGCACTCATTTCCATACTACAGTTCACAGGGGGAGATATTACTGAATTCATTAAAACTTGAAACGCAGAAAAGTTCTTATAAAATGCACTATTTCGACCAGGACCCACATTTCGACCTTCCGGATATTTATTCAATATATTTCTTTGTATCATTATGTGGTGAACTTGTTCTTCTTTATTTTATCTTCTCTCCGGACTCTGGACCAAAATTATCAGTATAAATAGGGGAGTGATTTCTGGTTAGAGACATCCTAGCTCATGAAATGTTACGAGACTAGTCATCCCTATACTAGTCAATTATCGCATACACATTACACTTATCACGGAGAAGCCCTCATTTTAAATTAACTTTCCTCTCTCGTTTTATCTGTTCTGTGTGTATAAAATAGATATGGAAACACACTGAAGGGAATTCAGAAATGTTTCCAGCAATGCCCCTCTTACGAATTTACTTGTTAATAATCACTTTATCTGCAAACTAGTATCTGAATGGTTTTGTCTTATGAAATTGACTCAGTTATCTGGGAACCAGGTGAAGCTGTGTGTGCCATACCGCTAGTAACACATCTGCTTCATACTGCTGTTAACTTAACATATGTACAATGGGCACAATCCGCTGTACTAAAACAATCACCTCTATCAAGCTGACATTTTTGAAAAAGTTAAACGCATAGGTCACATGGTTACAAATCATTTTCAAGCAAGTAACTCCACGAAAGATTTTCCCCCCTCCTTTACACTTTTCAGGCTATTTTTTTTATCCCCGGAGTGATTTATTATGTAAGTAATTTTAGGGGATACAGTTTACAGCCTGAATTATTAGACTGAACACCTCTGGCTGACACCAGAATGCATTTTTTTTCCTGCCTGCAGCTGTGAGTCACAACCCCATTTTCATACCAAACCTCTGCGCATTCCTTTACAATGTAGACTTCCTTTTTGCAAAGATCAAACATGCTTCAGCCAATGTGTTTATTTTAAAATACAGGAAAATTAAAACTAAACATGGGCTTACAAGGAAAACAAATGCATCATTTCTTTCCCTATCCTCCTCTCCATCCCCCCCCCCCCAAAATAACCATGGAGCTGACTAGTCCTCTGAAATAAAACATTATCATAGCAGAATCAAAACAATTGATTTCAACCGAAATGCTGAAAGAGGAATGGATCCCTTTGTTTTGTATTGCGGGTATGTTTTTAATTATATGTGGAAATGTCAGGGGGAAATGCTGTAACCGTAGTCTCCCCATAGCACACTTTCCCTGGTTATTTAACTTCAACACTACAAACCCAAAATAGACATACTAAGCAAAATAATCTCAGTATTCTGCTAAATGGTTTACAAACGGGATTCCGGATTTGGATAGCTGCTCAGGGCCTGGTCCATTGAAAGGCCTCACAGAATCGGGCCCTGTACAGAGTAGATTTCACAACCGTCTATTGTTTCAGAGTTGTTGTCTATTGTTCGTTTGCTAATGAAGGTGACAAGTTCCAATTGCCGGCCCTACTTCTAAACCACTTCAAAGCCTTTAACGTGGTGGTGATTTAAAAGCCTTCTTGCAGCCTAGCTGCCCTTACGCTTAGCAATCTTCCTCCACATTTAACATCTACTTTAGGTACAGATGGGAATAGATTTTAGCTGTCTGCTTTTAAGGCAATTTACTCCCCACCTCTCAAAACGCCTTCATGGGAACTGCTGAACTTTTTCTCTCTTCAACACAAACTTGATTCTAGCTCCGCTTTCCTCCTGCCTTTTGCCCTGAGATAGATTTCGGCTCGTCTTTTCTCCACTCATCCATGCGTTCTTCATTCATCTCTTTACACACACAGTCAAAGAATGAAATTTCAATACCAGGGAGCAGGACAGATGCTCTTTCACTTATTAGATAACCTTAATTGCCTATACGTACAAAAAAGACGATTCCCTGGAAAACAGATCAAAAACTTCGGGAAACTGATCAGGAAACTTACTGGAACTTTGAATAAGTGAATTAAAACTAATAATCGCAGTGCGGTGTTTCTGCAGGTGAAAGGCTGGAAAGGTTTATGACCTTGTTTAACTGGAACAACTCCAGTTTCCCTACATTATTCACCAGGACACACCGATCACTTTTCGAGAAAAGGAATCATCTCTTGGATCCCTTGTGATTGCAGGGTAACTTCTGGTTAAAATTTAAAGCTTAAAGTACATATAATCGGTTAATAATTCAATACTTATATATATAAATATATTACCAGCACAATCGTAAAGACACTGAATTAAGCTGCTCACTCAACTTTTAGTATTGTCAAGATGAGCAAAGTGACTAATTAGATGAGTGTACAGGTGATGTTGTTTTTCTCCCTTAGAGCTGGACATGATTGTGTGAGCTGGTTGTTTGCCAAGTGTTTGACTTTTATTCAAAATCTGAAAACCTGAACTTCAGCCTGTTTAGGAGGGGTGGGGGAGAGAAGGACTCAGTCCGTCGTATTGTCCGATTTGGATTGCTAAAAGTCAGCAAAGACAGCACAGAAATCTTTAGACAACCAGTTCCGCGTATAGAGACTGTCTATTCCTGAATATTTGGATATACTTGGTAATGTGATTTTGTTTCTTCCGTTTCACCTGGACAGTATAGGAGGCATTGGACATCCCGCTCTCAGATCCCATTGACCGATCTGGCAGGATCGGGCCGCTTATGACTTACCTTATTACTATTTGTAATTACTTTTGACGCGCATTCCTGTATTTGAATGAAGTAGGGTAAGAGGAGGTGAATTATGCAGTATACACTACAAATCACGAAGAGGCAACTTATTCTACACTGGACAGCACGGCTTCTCCATCAGACTGTGAGTCTTTATCTTTACTGCGCCAGAAACCCACCATATATATGCATAACTTTTGAATGAATCCTTTGAAAAAGATTTGCAATCTGCTGATACATTGTCAGGAAGAAAAGCTCCACAACTGTGAATCACACACACACACACACGAGCACGCGCGCGCACACACACGAGCGCTCACACACCAGTTGGGAAAATACTATTATTTTTCGTATGCTAACATTGAACGGGGAAGAGCTAGACATTTACTACTATCAAAAGTGGTTAGCTGACAAATTGAGCTTGATCTTTGAAGATTCTCC